CTTCAGCGTCTTTGAAACTTCGGCCCGGTCGCTCGCAGTGGCAAGTAAGCGAAATTGATATGTGGGATCATGCCGTAGTACGGCGATGTGGGGTGGGAAGTCGACCGGGCCGTGCTCAAGCAAATGGCTCAAGCCGCTATCACGATGGTGGGATTGTGGGGCAAACCGGCTCAATACAGGCTCGTGCTTCGCTTCGTCGGAGCCCACTGACTGCTGCAATCCCTAGCAGCTTGCTCTTATGCTCGTCATCTGATGGCATTCTTCGGACAACTCAATGCAACGGAGGAAGAAAATTTCTGCGAAAGAGATGGAGGCGCAGCTCAAGGTCGAGGAGAGATGGGGCCATCGAGCAGATCGAGGCTTATTTGGGGCAGACTTCAAAGCATTGCAGCCGCACCACGGGAGGGTGGTACCTTCATGTACTTGTGGGGCACGGTCCCACATGGCCGTGATGAACGTCATATCGTGGCGTGGTCCGGTGGGTCAGTGTTTCGCTCGATCCCACAAAATTGTGGGTCCTTTCTTCGGCTGTGATGAGCCATTCATCCCTCTCTTGGAGAGAGAGAGCTGGGTCGTATCACAGCTCTCGATGCATAAATACCACGAGCTGTTCCGTCCTCTGGCGCAGAATAACCGCATCGCATCCTTCCTCTCTACACAAAGAAGTCAAAGATATCCTCAATCTCCACCTTTAAAAGAACTCCTCACTCTCCACCTTTATCTCAACCATGTTCTCCAAGACTGCCTCCCTCGCCATCGTTGCTCTGCTCTCGCTCAGCGGTGCTATGGCCACCTCGCCTTTTGGCCCACCCTCAACTGCAGGCATCGCTAACGATCCCGCGCAGTATGCGAAGTACTGTAGCGCTGGAAGCCCCGTACCGAACCAGGCATACGCCTGCTTCCACTGGGGTGGGGATGACATTAGGGAGAGCATGCTCGAGCCTGACAACGCCCATGGCTACATGACTTCGGACGGCAAAAGTAAGTCTGACCATTTTTGGTTACACTGCAGGACGCAGTGATAAGCACCGGCGGTACTGCATCGGTCACAAACATGCTGACGCTTTTTTGCTATAGACTTTGTTCTGATCTGGGACGGCAAGACTCAGTCGTTCGCCTTCGACGACAACAGCTTTATTTTCACTTTGGGCCAGAACAACTGCCTCAACGTCGCCAGGACGTCGCTCATCTCTGGTACTGCTCAGCACACCGGACCTACTCAGAACTTCTTTGCCTGCCCCAACAGCGGTGTGATGTCTATCTCTTAAACTCAAGATGGATCATCGGCGAGAGTAACGAAGCGTGGGCATGCCCGCGTCGGCATCGCGTGTCCGAAACCTCGCCTCCCAAAGCAGCCAGTGTGCTTGTTGGCCCACTCATTCTCCTAGTCGTCTCGAGTTCTTCTCTCGATTCTACCATGCTTATGGCAAACCGCTCGTTGTCAGAGATTGTCGTGTTGATTTCATCGTGTAGCGGTGAATTTGACACCACGCCGACACGATCGATCGGCCTGATTTTTGTTCGATGATGAGACGGAGTGAACACTCGTTGCGGGCGTAAATTACTTGACAGATGCCCGTTCTCAAGATCTGCCTCTGAAGTTATCATCAATCCCCATCTCCTTTCTCCAAGTTTTGCATCATGTCGCGCTCCAAGGATGATACCTTGTGCAAGACATTTCAAGGTGTGAACGGCTACGCAAGTGCAACAGACTTACGTGAAGCAAGTTCAGCGTGGCTACTTTGAGGTGCTCTAGCGATCTGAACGTGTTTCTCGGGATGTGGCACCAGAAGCCGAACGTCGCTTATTCTGCGCTCAGATAGATGCACAGGAGTGTGCAGCATCTAGGGAGGCTCGTATACAGAATTGCATTCTCGGTGCCTTGCGAAAAGTGATTCGTGACTGCGTTTATCTTGACGCTCCGAGTCGAGCCCTAAGATGCAATGAGATCAAGCCCATCGTGTGCCCCATCGAACGAATTGCTTCTTTGTAATGACGAGATGTATATCTGTGTGCTTTTCGTCAAGGCCCACTGATGACGCTGGCATCAAAGTCTGTGACACGCAGCTATGGCCTTGCGATTACCGTGGTGCGATAGATTTGAGTCTGCTTTGTCTCAACCCACCGTGAGCCTGCCATCAGCATCGCTGTTTAAGAATCACACGATGGCCCAATTGTCGTCAAAAGCGAGTCTCTATTGTGAGGGTTCGGAAACAGTATACTGTAGCCCCCTGCATATCAGATGTGGTACTTCATTTGGTTCGCTCATGCAGGCTCGGTAGATGTCAAATACGATGCCTTGACGGTTTCAATTATCTGGACAACAATCAAGTGAAACGCATCCTGCACAGTGCTTTCTTCGAGCCCCGTGGCACAGTGATGGTGGACAAGAATGCAATAGGTGGGTTGAAGCCCCTGTTGGTGTGCACCACGAGAATCGCGGTCGGCATGGGTAGATTACGAAATCCTTGGCAGCGCACAAGAGCCCCTGATCTTGAGGCGCAGAGTCGAAGGTATAAATCGTCAGCAAGAGAGCCGTCGTTCCTCCGGAGCTTGTCCTTTGGCCTGTACTCCAGATCTTCCTCAAAGTCAAGATGCCCTCGCTCCGCTCTCTCACACTCTTTTCCGCCGCAACGCTGGTCGTTGTGGTTCAGATGGCCATTGGGGCCGCGATCCCGGGTGCTGAAATCGAGCGAACGCTGTCCGAGATCCGCGAGGCACCTCAACTGTCTTCGCCGTTCGCCTCTTCTTCCGGTCAGGGAGCGTCAAGCTCTGCAGGCCATGGGGATTTTGGCTGGGAGAGCATGGTGCATGAGCAGGATCTCCACAATCCATACGCTCCAAAACACGGTGTCGAGGCCACGGCGTGGAGCCGTCTGGATACGGACATGGATCTGCTCCGATTGGACTGGAACCACATCTCCAAGTATCCATACCACGAGCTAAGCTTCCCGCAGCGTAAGCTGTCCCTTCAAGAAGTCAAGGCGGAGTTCTTCAGGCAATCCGAAACGCGACTGCAGGATGCCCCGGAGACGGTCACGACGTTCCAGCCAGGGTCCGATCCGCAGGAGTTTGCGACTTTCATGGACAGCGTAGCTCGTCGCGATAAAGGATTTGGCATGTGGCGGATGCAGGTGGGAGATCGCCACTTCCTCCTGGCTCAACTCAACGTCCGGAACGGGCTGTTCAATAGCATTCATGGCTACAATGCAGACCGACACCACATCATCCTCGGAGTCTGGCAGGAGATCGGCGGTCCGGGCTCGAACATCTATCAGTACCTCGGTGCATTCCGTGGCGCGCACAGCCGGCCCTTTGTGCAGTACAGGACGCGCGTCTTGTCTGAAACGGTGAAGCCAATCGACAGAGTCCGCATGCTGGGATCCTCGAGCGTATACATGAAGCTTTACCAGTAGCTACAGTCTTCCCCCTTCCGCAGACCCACCACCTTCCCTTTCATTCAGCAGCAGTCTCACAGATGGAATCGCCAAGATGTCTGTGACAACCAAGAGCCTGTGGTCCTTTTTTTTTAAATTGCATGCCATCGTCTCTCTATAGTGCATCAGAAGAACTGACGGTGTTTCGAGTCTTCAGGAACCCAGACGGAGACGGAGCGCGGGTGGCACTTGACCTCGACCCAACCATCGTCGTTGACCTTCTGCTGACCCTGGAACCAGCCGATGACATCGACAAAGTTCTTGCCCACGTAGCGCTTTCCGACTTCGACCCACTTGGAACCCTCTTCGGTGCCATTGCAGATGATGGTGGCCGAGGCATCGTAGCCCGCGTCGTCGTCCGCCGAGGAGTCTGGGTCCTTTGTGCCCGTGCGGACCCAGGCGATGCAGTTGGGATGGTCCCACACGTCGCGCTGCTCGCCATAGGCATAGTACTTGCGAGCCTTGAGGAACTTGTCCAGGTCAGCCATGGGCTCGGCCTTGCCTTCGCCATTGTCGATGCCGGTCGTGTTGCAGCCGTCAAGGTCACCCAGGAAGACGCAAGGGTAGCCGGAAACGCGCATGAGGATGAGCGCGTAGGCGAGCGGCTTGAATTGGGCCGAGACGGTGGACTCGAGCGCCTGTCCCTTCTGCGTGTCGTGATTCTCGACAAGCGTGACTGCATCGATGGGTCGCTTCTGAACGATGGTGGCGTCGAAGATCTTGCGCAGGTCGTAAGACTCGGCCGCGTCGCCCGCCTCCTTCATGTTGTAATGCAGCGGCGTGTCAAAGAGCGAGAACTGCTCGTCGCCAAAGTTGCCCAGGTACTTGAGGCACGAGTCGAGGTCGTCCTTCCAGAACTCGCCAACACTAAAGGCGATCGGACCCTCGCTCTCGTCGGCAGCCTCGAGGCCGCGCTCCTTGCGCAGCTTGCGCGCCTCTTCGCGGATGTGCTTGACAAAGTCGTGCACAAAGTCGCGCGACATGTGCTTGACCGCATCGAAGCGGAAGCCAGCGATGGGGAAGTTGCGCATCATCCAGGCGCCCCAGTTGAAGAGGTCCTTCTGCACATCAGGATGCGCATGGTCGACGTCGGCACCCATGAGGAAGTCATAGTTGCCGTTCTCCTTGTCCACGTCGGTGGCCCAGTGCTTGCCATCGCCCTCGATGCGGAAGATGGCCTTGGTCTCGGCCTTCTGGTCCCAGTCGACTCCCGTGAAGTGTTCGAAGCCCCACTTGAAGTCCGAGTACTTGCCATCGCGACCGGGGAAGGTGAACTTGGTCCAGCCCTCAATGTCGTAAGCGTCGGAGCAGAGCTTGGTGCGGTCGTTCTGGTCGACCATGCGTGCCTTGAAGGTCTGCAGCTCGTCGGCGCCCATGCGGTGGTTAAGCACGGCGTCAACGTAAATCGAGATGCCGTTCTTGCGGAGCTCCTTCATGGCGGCCTCGAGCTGCTCGCGCGTGCCGTACTTGGTGCGGTGCGGCGGCTGCAGGCCTGCATCCTTGTCGCGGGGATGCGCAAACTCGCCGAGATCCCAGGTGTCGTAAATGTCGTAGCCGGTGCTAGAGCCGGAACTGGCCTTGGTGGGCGGGGGNCCTGCATCCTTGTCGCGGGGATGCGCAAACTCGCCGAGATCCCAGGTGTCGTAAATGTCGTAGCCGGTGCTAGAGCCGGAACTGGCCTTGGTGGGCGGGGGAATCCAGACGGCGGTGATGCCCATGTCGGCGAAGCGCTTGGCGTTGTCGCCGAGCCACTGCCAGTGCTTTCCTTCGCCCTGCGTGTACCACTCGAACGCCTGCATCATGGTGTAGTTGTGCTCATGCTTGTCCGAGTGCTTGTTAGCCGAAGACGCCATCTTGAAAACTGGTGAGCCGCGTGATAGAGCGACGGTGTGAGGGGCTGACGATGAAGGGGGATTGTGGAGGAGTGAATGTGGACCCGCAAGGGCTGGGCTGCTTATGAGGCTGGACGGAAGGTCCCGCTAGAAGACTCGCCAATGTTCATTATCGATAGGATCTAGGCGCGGGAGCACGGTCCATGCTGCACGACCGTGGGAGCGTCCGTTCTAGGGCTCCTCGGCCTCAACCTCGGCATGAGAGGATTGTCGGCGCTGTTGGACGAGAACAACAGCTCGGATGCGGTAAGTTGGCAGTTGAGGTTCCGCTCGCTTGGCCGATGCTAGAAATAAGCCACATAAAGCGTGCGCGGCTGTGCCGTGACGTCGGCCTGCCTTAAGCTTCCACTGTGGCATGCCGCACAGTCCGCGCGGCGCGGGCGAAGCAATGTTAGACCGCTGCTAGCCTTGGCAGTCTTTCTCGGCACTCGGAAGTTCCGGCTTGCTCAGATTTGGCTGTAGCAATCCTCCACACTCACCCTTCGGCAACGTTACCTGTTTACCACCTGCACCATCATCACCATGAACGTCTGGTCTACAACTGCAGCAGCGAGTGTCCTGAAGGGCACATCCCTACAAGGCCTCTCTGTCGCGCGGAGGGTCGGGACGGTTCGGTACCAGTCGCGTGGCGCTCCGAGTCGCGATGCCTCGCAGCCCGCCCCGCCAGCACAGCCTGCTGCGCCCGCTTCCTCGCCGGCGGCTCCGCGAGCCAAGCCTGCGGGAGGTGAAGACGAACGCTCAAGACTAGCAAGGCTACAGGCTCAGAGGCTTGAAGAGCTCAACCGTGGTCGTGCTGGTGGCGCTCGCGGAGGAGCGCGCTCGAACCGACCCGAACAGCGATGGTCGAATCGTACCCTCATCGCGCTGGCCACTTCGGTGGGGGCGTGTACATACCTGATGGGCACCTACCACGGCTACAATGCAGGCAAAGCACATGTCATTGAGCAGGCTCAAGCTCCGGTCGACTCTCCAACACCGAGCGCCACATCCTCCGCGGCCGCAACCATCGGCATATCCGCCAGTTCGGTCGGCTTCGCCGAACGTGCCGTGACTTCTCTCTCGGACTTGGTGGCGCCACTGATGCCATTCCGCTCCCTCGCCTCTCCAGTCCATTGCGAACAAGGGCAAACAGATGCACAGACCAGGGCACGGACTCCGGACTGCAGACTCGTCGAGCTCACCCAGTACCATTGCGATCTCCACCCGACCCGCGTCGTCTGCCAGCCCATCGATCGGATCTTCCGCATGTAAGTGGTCTGCATTCCTTTTTCCTGACTCGCCTCGGTATCACCATCTCACTGCTGTGCTCTCTTGCTCCTCTCGTGTCCTCTTAGATGCAAGGGCCGTCCCGCCGTCGAGGTTTCGCACATTGTCGAGTTCGACGAGTCCGCAAAACCTTATCTGCCAGCCGATCTCTCGTGCGTACGCTTTCGCCTTGACCCTTCATCAACGGCCATTCATACTGATAGTGTTACCCTCCCTACTCGCGTCCGATCAAACAGCGAAGCAATGCCCCCCTCTCAGCATTGGCACGAACTCAGATCACCAGATTTGTAGCCGAATCCCAATCACATCACTAAATCCCAAGCCTCGCGCTCACTGCGGCCAAGCGCGTATTTCGAGAAAGAGACGAGCAAAGTGGTGTGTTTGCAATCGAACGAGAAGAACTAGAGTCGCATAACGAACAAGGTGCCATCGGCCAAGCAGCTTTTTCAAGATCTTTTTTGGTGGCGACGCCCCACAGTACGATCTGAGAGAGGCGGCGTCAGACTTGTTGGTCTCTCTCCGGCTGCCTCTGGCTGGAATGGATCGCACAGCCACCCAGCTGAGCGCAGCTGAGCGTTGCTGATCAGGCAGACTGATCGCCGCGTCGCGCTAGGTTTGCGAATCGACGAGGGTGCGCGGCGTCCGATCCGATCGTTGCCCGTCGACGCGTGGCCCGCATATCATTCGCTCCAATGGGCGCCATCGGGCCCCCGAAGAGCTCGCTGACGGCACGATGATGGCGTGCTTGGCGGACTCTGTCGCTCGTGTTGCAGACTTGCTTTGTCCGAGAGTCCCCTTCCGATCCGTCCGAGCAAGAGACTGCTGTCTCATTGGCGGATTCGAGCCCGGCGAACGCGCCAGGGTTGGCGCAGATTGGGAGTGCTGGGCGCACAAATCGCAAGTGCGTATCAAAGGGGTCCTTGGCGTCTGCATCCGCTTCGGATGCAGGCGTTGTGGGACCAGACTCCTCGAAATTATCGAAGACCACAGCCTCGTGCTCGGCTCCGAACGGGCTCGGCGGAAGCAGCGAACTGTGCTTTGCGGGAGTGCGGCCGCCAGAAGCATGGCTCCCGTCCTCGCTCTCGAAGCAGGTGTAGGTACAGGCATTGAGACCATTGCCGACGTCTTGACGGTCGTGATCCAGCCTCAGCACACGATGTCCGCCCGTCTGCCATGGCTGCCCGCATCGCTTGGAGTCTGTTGGCTTCGGATAAGGTAGTCGCTTGGTGCCACGGGCACGACCCCTTGTGTACGCATCTTGCCTGCAGAAGGCATCGCTCGCGCAAGGTCCATTGTCGAGAGAGTCGCCGAGCAGGTCGAGATCGTCCTGCTTGCGTCGTTCGTACAGAGGGGATGGATGGCGTCGGCACGCGTGGACGCTGCCGCATTCTAGTTCGGAGTGGCGGTTCGCGTATCCCGGCTCGACCGGCGGGCGGATTGCGATAGCGGGTTGTTGCTCGTCGATGACTTGGATCTCGTCCGACGAGCATGTCGTGGACAGATTCGATGCTGCCCTTTTGAGGGTGATAGCGACATTGCGGGGGCTGGTGGCGAGAGCTGGAGCGGCACCGACGGATGGCACCTGTCCGGCTTTGGTCGATGACATTTGGAGATCTTCAAGCGTGGCGAACATTACCAGTGAGGTTTTGGTGGAGCGGAAGATAGATACCCGGATGGAGGACCGGCTCGGTGCCCAGCAATGCCAAAGATCGTGTAGAGGATGAACGGCAATGCTTTGGACGTCGGCCTAGCACTCGTCTTGCCCTTGAGCGCGGTGGAAGTGTGGACACACCAAAGGGTCGCGTAGGGAGTCGAGCGGAGGCGGGGAGGAAAAGCGTTCGTAATTGTGTGGCGATGGATATCGATGGTGTTATATCCCTCCGAGAGAGCAGCGGCACCCTGACTAGGCCTCAGGTATATATCCTTGCCCGCGGCTGAGCCAGGAAGGCTTTGTTGAGTCCGCAGAGGCTCTCCCAATGGCTCCCAGAGCGCCTGTGTGTAGCTGGACGTGCTCCGTCCAGGTGGGGAAGCACCAATGTGACGGAGCAAATTTCCACCGCCCTGGAGCGAACAAAAGCACACGGCCCCCAAAGGCGGAAACGGCAGAAGAGTGGGACCAGGTGGAAAAAAGAGGGTTAAAAAAAGGTGGCGGCGACAAAAATTGAGTGCCGTGACACTGGAGAAAAAAAAAACAGAGTTGGAAATGTGGCTGACTTTGACTAGGTTGCGTTGCTACGGTTGCTGTACAGTCACAGTCACGTAGGCACAATCGGCACAATCAAAGTGATGAGCCGAGCGTCAGCCCATTGCGTTGCGCTGCGGGGGCGAGACCGGAAGTCGAGGCAACGCTGCAAGGTAGCCGTCCGAATCCGAGCGGATGCCCGCCGAGTCATTCGCGGCAGTATGATCCGCAGCGAAAGCCACCGAGGCGACGAGCTGTCAAGCTGCAGCCGTCTTAAGCTCTGCGCCGGTGATATCGATGGGCGTGAGAAGGTGAAGCGACCATGCAGTCGTCCCGCCGAATTGCATCGACCTCGCGCTTCGGTCACTTGCATTCTTGGCGAGCTTCCGCCCCTGATGGCGAGCGAAAACAAGATATCACGCAGTGCCGAACCGTATCGTGGCTAGGCTAGTGAAGTGACACGGCGCAAATCTGCACGCCTGGGGAACTTCATGGCTGCGCTGACAGACGGGCGGGCGGGCGGTATGAGAATTACGCGCCCAATCTTCGGATGGAAATCGAAATCCCAGCGGCTTTCGTGCTCTTTGGATCTCCAAACACAGATATTAACGTACCGCGCGATGCGACGGTGGAAAGTCACCGAGCCAGTCGCACTTTGCTAACATCACAATCGCAGCCGCGATAGCTGTGACGGCGAGAGCTGCAGGCATCGAAAATCTCCGAGCCCCACTTGTGGCCTAGGAGGGCCGAGACGATTTCTTCCAGCGGATCGCCGCTGAATTGGGTGGCTCTTCCGCAGCCGCGCGAGCAAATGGCCGCTTGGCCGCTTGGCCGCTTGAAGGCTGTAGTCCTCGCGTCCAGAAACGACTCGGTCGGTGCGTCGAGTCGGGCATTTGCGCCGTTGCAGGTCCGCTGCTCTTCGCCTCATTAGCCAGCTCGAGGCGCGTCTACAGCTTCATCCGTCTCTGAGCGTACGCTTCTTCTTGTCCTCAGGGTCTGAAAGGCGTAGGCACGCGCGGCTGGGATCTGGCTCCGACTGACCGAGGCAACCGAGGGGCTTGGCTGTGCAAGGCAGCGGTGGCGACCTCGAATTGTGCTTCGAGTGGACAACGTTGTCCCTGCTTCATCTCATCCCACGCCGATGGACAGCACGGAAACGGCAATCTTGACGCCGTTATGACCGAGGGCTGGGCTGAGCCGAGCTGTGAGAAAGAAGAGCGTCCGGTTGCGTGGCTCTGCTTGTTGACCCTGCATGGCTTTCTAGCCGGCCACTGCCGACGGCAACTTCCCACCCTGCTTCCGATGCACATGACACGTGCATAGATTGAACCTTCTTGCTGAATCACCGAGCCACAAAGCTGCCGCTCCATCACGGCCTGTTGGGAGCTTTCATGCATGCATGCTTGGCTGCATGCCTTCTTTTTCTTCGCTGCTTCGTGCAGCATCACACTCTCCAGCGTTGCGTTGCAACTCTAGGGAGAACAGCCTCACGCCTCACGCTGCGAAGCTACGAAAGAAAGCTTGGAGAGCTAGCCGGCGAGGCGCCAGGGCCCAGATAATCTCCGAGACAGACAGCTCGCCAAGGATTTTGGAGGACGCTCAGGCTACGCCTCCCAAGGTAGCTTCGGTTGCTCTCGATCGTCCGCAGGGCAGGCACCGTCCAGCCTTGCGCTTCTAAGACCGGTGCGTTTGTTTTGTTGTGCCAAATGGTCCGTTGTTGGGTGGCGTGCTTCAATGATCGCACCATGGCGAGATGAGCCAGCCTGCATTCCACAGCCACAATCACACCATTACAGGCCGCGGAACGACATGCAATGTCGACGTGTGTTTTGGCCGACCCAATCAAGCGCGAGGCAAGCTGACGGGGCCGAGAATGAGCGCTTTCCAGATGAACAAGGGAAGAATTCCGAGCCGCCGAGCTGTGCGCGTTGGGGCTTCATTTGTACAGCGTGGCTCGGGATTCGCCTCTCGAAGTGGGCTCGACTTGACTGCAATTTGGGAGCAGCGGGCCGGTCATCGCGCGATCTCGTGGCGGCGAGCCCGCTTCATCGCGGCGTCTCGAGCTCGGGCCTGGGCGAGGGGCGTCACGCTTCGTTGCTTGCCAGATGCAACCCACTTGGGCTCGCTCCTTCCGTCACTGGCAGCCCGCAGCCCACTCTCAGGGACGCTGGCTGCCACTCAGACTCCGTGCCTTGGCGGTGGGGCAGCAGTAAGTCGGAGCTTTTTCTCCCCTACGGCAGCGGGGTGAGGCGCGAAAAAGCTCGGATGCCAAGGCGGTCGCAACTCTGATTTCTTTTCGTCTCCTCTCTGCGTGTGGTGGGTCGGCCGCCTTCGCAGTTGTTGGATTGCCCAAAGCGACTCTCTCTTCGGGGAAGCTGCCGATGTCCCGTGCGCTCGCGGCAACAATCGTCTTCGGTGCAATGATGTCGTCCGAGGCAAGCGGGCGGTACAGACAGACGCAAGCAGCAGCATACGTAGTAGCTGGCAGCACAGCCGCTCGCCGGAGCCAGAATTCCGGGAGCGGTCTAATCTTCGCATCGCAATCTTCGCGACGCAATCTTCGCA